CCTATACAAGTCCAAACTAACTTGGACTTTCTCCTTTTTTTTTTTTCAGTTCCCAATTACATATATATATATATATATCATATATATAAAATCCAAGTACAACTTCCTGTACCATCCAAACCAATTTGGACTCCCCAATTGTATATATCTCATATATATATATATATATATATATATATATATGTTATCTTTTTTTATTATTATTTAATAAAATAATTTTATAAATCAATTCAATTTCAAATTAAATTTTATAATAATATTTATTATTATAAAAAGCAATTTGAAAATGAAATGAATTATAAAACTAAAAAATATATAAATATTAATTTTTGATACTAACAAAAAATAAAATAATATTCTATCTAAATTAGAAGATTTTATTTATTTGATTACATTAAATTTTTTAATATAATTATCAATAATTAAAATAATTAATCTATTTAGCAAAAGTTAAAACACTCGATAGTGTGCGACCTCATAAGTTCAATACTAAACCGATACCAAACTAGTCAAACTAATTTATTAATCAATATTGATATTTAGCAACACTTCTCAACGATCAAATAACATGAAATGTACCATTATTCTTAAGAAACTACTATAAAATTATGTAATATTTCTTTTCGTCATTATTATTTGGAGTTAACCCTAAAATATAGTTTAACTATCAAATCCCAATAGTTATTATGTTTCATGTCAATTATAATTGATTAATGAATAATATAAGAGACTATTTTCTTCTTTCATTCAATTGTCTTGATCAAGTTGTTAATTTAATCGTTAAAATAAATGACAACATAGAGCTTAAACGTATTATCAAAGTTGATAGATTTCGTCTTAATCAATCATTAATTTTACAAATATTTAATCACATTCAATATCCTTTCAACTATAATTCTATGACTATAAGTATTCGGAATTAAAGTATTATAAATGACTTATTAATTACTATGAAGATCTCAAGTCAGAAAAAATTTTTACATCTCATCATTTTAAAAGAATATTTTCTTGATAGTTTAAGATAATATTAACCATTAGCAATTCTCAATTGGGTTTGTTCAATGATAATATCTCCAAATGCATCATTTATATATGTGATTTAGTTAATGAGATCAATTAATTTTTATCTTATAAATACTTTCACATATATATTAGTCTCATCGGATTATTAATGTCCTATTTTAATAATCTAACGACTAATAACAAGATTAAATCACAAAAAAATTTATTATCATTATCAAGATCTCTATCTTGATGGAAAATATCTAAATTTTATTAAGAAATTTATTATATAAATTAAATAAAAAGATAATAAAAATATTATTGTAATATATTAAAATAAATTATTAAATAATAATATATTTAAAAATTCTAAAATTAGTGACTTCTTGTTCTATAAACATATTTTTAAATCAAGGAATATTCTAACAATGGATGTTGTAAAATTATTGGTGATGGAAAAAGATACAATTATATGGTGTGACCTTAAAATTCTCTATATTGAGGGGATCCAAATCCAATTGTAATTTTGTTCCAAGATTCTTTACATGTTAATCAACAACTGATGAATGAAAATGCTAGCTAATGAATCTCAATACTCTAAATCAATTATTTCCTAAAAAAAAAATAGAAAAAGTGAGTTAAAATTAAACTCTCATTAGCCCCTCCTAATTAAACATACATGAAGTTAGATTCTTAATTCTAAAGACTCATTTGACATAAGATCAGTTTGTTATGCCTATTGCAAAATCTCCATCATTCAAGGCCTAGTATTAGTTTTTTTTTTTATTGGCTCGAAGAAAAATTCAGTAGAATACTATGGTTAATGAGGAAGATTAGCTATTCTTCCTCATTAACTAACAAAAGCAAACCTTTGAATAACTTGTTCTGTGGAGACATGCATGCATTTTTATGTCTTGATCATAAAATATTTTACACTCCCAAAATTTTTTCAAAAATACTTTAAATCCACTAAATAATAACTCATATAATGGTAATGGTAAGAGACAATGAATCTCTTATATTTATTGTAGTATTATCATATTCTAAAAGGAGCCCTAAGCATATGCTGACGAATTTTTTTATAGATACAAATCCTTTGGTTGTCGAAATTGAAGCCTTACTTCCAGCAGCTAAATTAACAAAAATGAATAATAAATCATTGCGGAACAAAACTTTGTTAAAAAAAAAAAATAAGCAATTATTTATTTGAATATAGTATTGATTTAACTGAAGTGTTCATTGAAAAAAATAATTTTCTAAAAAAAATAAAAATATATATTTATTAGGAATATTAATTATTTATATTATTAATTCTAATTGAATATAAAGAAGATATTTAAATAAATTTGTTAGACAATAAAATTAGGAATAAAAAATTATTTTTCAATTTTTTAAATTAATGATAAACATGTTTATTCAACAAAAAAAATTAAAGCCAAAGTGTTTAAAAACATGATCCTACTCATTAGAAAATTACTTTTTTACCCAATTTGAACACTCTTAGAATTATTATTACCTTCAAATGTTATTCATGTTTGAGGGTTATGAATTATGATTATAATCTCTTAAAAGTATCAATTTTTTATTTTAAGTTAATTATAACCTTAGTTTATATTATTTTGTGCTTTAGATATTACTTAACCCTTATTGCAAAAATAACTTTTTAATCTAAAAAAAATTCAAATTTATATATAAAAAACTATATATAAAATAAATTTGAAGTTACGTTGGGAAAAATTTGACATTTTTTATTGAGATTTAATTGGAGCAAATTTAGTGATTTATTATTATATAATTATATTATTTTAATAATTAATTATTTGATAAATGTATTATTTATTAACTTTTTTACTGTTTTAGTTATAGTTATATTATATACTTGTAAAGGTTCATTAAATACAATTAATACTAAAAGTAGATGTCCATTTCAAATTATAACCAAACCAAACAAAGTAACTTAAAATAATACAATATTCGTATTATGAAGAAAACAGAAAGCACTCATAATCAATCAATGATTCATATTATATGCATCAAGAATCCATTTCTTCCTCATTGACTGACTGTGTGTATGCAATATCACTTCTTTACAATCCACAAGACCTCAAAGATACTTGGAAGACCATAGAAGCAGAAAATATTAGCTTGTGACAATGCCTAGAGACAGAGTTATACAAATTATAATCTTGAATAGGAGAAAAGAATTGAAATGAATACGTTAATAGTTTTTCTTTGTGTTATTATTTGCTTCTCCTTCTTTGATTTATTTAAGTGCTGCAAGTCGAGCTGCCAAATTTTCATAATCAGGTAGGTTTGGATGAACACGGCCACCCGACATCTCGGGCTGCAATGAAGTTGGTGGAGCTTTTTTCTTACTGTAATGCATCAGAAGCCCATCTATCATCTTTTCTTCTTCATCCCTTTTCTCTTCTTTGACTCCATTTGTATCATCATAAGCGACATGAGTACGTGATGGTTTAGCAAATCTGCTCCTGACTGATCTTGGTTTCGGCTTAGCTTCAACAACTTGTTCAGTTTTATCCTTCTCTTTTCCCTGCATTTCTTTTCCATTTGGGTCCGTTTTAACATAGGATGGACTTCTATCCTTCTCCTTTCCATGTTCTTCCTTCTCATTTGGGTCTGTTTTGACGTATGGAGGAGTTTCATCCTTATCCTTCTCTTCTTTATTTGGGTTTGTTTTAACATACGGAGGAGGGATGAATCGATAGTAAAAAGGCTTGTTTGCATCCTCGGAAACACTTCCTACTGAACTTGAACTTGTCTCAAGTGAATCTCTTGTGTCAAAAGCAATTGCCTCGTCTTCCCTACAGATTTCCAGCTTGTTTTTGTTATACAATGAGACATCACTCCCATTTCTTTTTGGCATCGTATAGTCCTTTTCGTCTTGACTTTCTCGATCTCGAAAAGCATCACTCATGCTTTTCTTAACTCTGTATCCACCATCATCATTGCCATTCCTCAAACGGGTATGCTTAGATTCATTCTGCATAAAATAAGATGTCTTAGACATGGGCAATAAGAGACTATTCAAAGTTGTAAGAACACAAGCTTACTTGTGCAGTTATTGCAGGTGGCTTGAACAATTTCTGTTCTAAAGCCTTGGAATCCCAGTCAATGCCAAATTCTTGAGCAATGTCATGCATCAATTCAAACTTCATATCCTTTGAGGGAGGATCTGGTTTGAATTTATCTCGCAACTATAAACAAAGTAACCATACAGATCAGTGCTTAAAAACATAGGCTTTAAGGACAAACCACATCTGAATTTTAAGGAGACATGTTATAAAAATATGAATTTTTGTTACCTCTTCATTTACAAATGATTCAGACAAGTTGCCATATTTCTCGTTGAATAGAGCTCTGAGGTCACGCAATTCTGGAACTTCTGAAAGTCTGGCAGCAGCAAATATCAAACATGATATAGCTTCCCTGCACTCTTCAGGACATTCCCTGCAAGAAAAGAGAGTTAAACTAGGATGGAAAAGGAAAAGAAGAGCATAAATTTAAAACTAAGGCCTTAAGTTGGTATTAATAAACATTATGAAAACATAACACACTACAAAAGAAAGTAATAGATTTCATCATAAGCTGGACAATCATATATGTATACCTTTGTTTCAGCATGAGAGGGAGATGGTTTATGGTGCATTCACAGAACTTCTCAATAATTTGATAGCATGACAATCTCTTCTGCTCAACCAGAAGTCCTTCAGCCTGATTCACCATTCACAACAAAGTAAAAGAGATATGATTTGTGTAAGATACATAATATGATTTGTCTAAGATACATTGACAACAAAGTGAAAGATTCAGGTCATGAAACAGTAAAAATTCGATATGAACAGAAGTAAAATTTCAATTAGCAATAGTTTGGAATTTCATATAACATGTCTCATTTCAGATGAACTCTCTATATCTACCAAATGTCAGGCATATTGAAAAAGAAAGGAAAAAACCCAAAAAAGAGCAAAGAAAAAACAAAGAATGGTCTTCCCAAATTCCAACCCATAAGATATTATGAAAATCATCGAAGTAAAAAATTACCCTTCCATAAGCATTGTAATCAAGATTGTTTTTAATGAGATCAGCAATATCATTCTTCAAATACTTGCAAACAGAACTCTTCTTCTTCTTGACCATCTCAACGCGCGTCTTCGTAAGCCTCACCAACGATTTGCTAAATGGAAACAAAAACCCACAGAAACAGAAATAAATACATACACATTTAAAGGGATACATAAAAACCCACAAATGAATAAAGAAGACAAAAGGAAAAATGAACCATTTTCCGTGGAATTTTGGTTTGATTAATGCATCAAACATTTTGCCTCTTTTGAAAGAGGCACAGAAGTAGAAATATCTTTATGGGTTATATTGATTTGATGATTGGCAAAAAAATAACTGTAAGCTTTGTTAATGGTGGATTGAAGTAACATCAAGAATCTCCATATTTAGACGCAGAAGAAGAAAAGAATAGGTAGAAGAAGAAACGCAAATAGAGAAGAAAGAAAC